AGTATACATGCCGTACCCTGCCGTCTGCCCCAAAGTATTCTCACGGTTCCAGATCTTGTGTTTTTAATAAAGTGAATACACTGTATGTCTACAGAAACATTAAAAATGCTTCAATATCCATGGAGTGAGCATATGATTCTCAAAAGGGATCAGTTCATGGGACTCGATGAGACTTCAGGGGACTAAGCCATACAAACTCCCACAAAGTCCCAAGGAATCCCCATAGGGTTCCACGGAGTCCCATAGAAGCTCATAGAGTCCCATGAAGCAAAGCTCCAAAAAGGCATATTGAATCGAAGAGGCAATGAAAAATAGAAATTATATTAAAGTTTGTCAGAAAAAATACATGGCATATTTTACGATATTTGTATACAATGCTACTGCCAAGAGCCTTATCCGGGTCTCCCTTATTTATTCAATAGCTAGAACTTTTGGGTTAAATCCAGGAAAAGATCCTGAAAAACAACCCTAGGGGAATGATGAGGGGAAATTATCTAACTTTGAAAAAAGTATCTATCGGATATGAAAATCTCTAGCACAGGTCCTTGGTCCAATGACCATCGGTAAGCTTTTATAATTCTAAGCAAATCCGATAACAAATAACCAGTTATGAAAGAGACAAATACCACACTTCAAAAAAATAAATAATGAGAAAATTAAAAAAGATAAATTAATGATTTTGAAAAGATTCCAGCAGGGGGTCCAATATTCCCCACCCAGCTACGCATCTGTGATGTTTTCTATAATACTTTGCTTTATTATTTATTATGTCACCACCCAATAGGTGACATATTTTGATCAAGCCGACTAAAAGTATAACTTGTTGATAGGTCTTGACTGAAACCTAACTTATTAATTGGTCTAAATAGGTCTGAAAAGACTAAAATGGACTGAAAGTATACCTGTTTTACTTATAATTTTTAATAGCAGACTGAAAGTAGACCAAATAAACTCTGATAAATAATAGACTGAAAGCAGACCTTTTTTACTTAAAACTTAATAGTAGACCAAATAAACTCTGACAAATAATGAAAAGACTCTCAACATAGACCTGTTTTTTACTTTATAATTTACAAAATTCATGATATAAGCCATTGGTCCATTGAGCCATTGGTCACAATGGCTCAATAATGTTCTCTACAATATGTTATTTTGAAAAAATCTTAAATATATATATCTTTTATTGACTCTTTAGATGTCATGACCTGACATATTAGTCATTACAAAATGAAATTTTACAAAAACTACACTACACTACACTACACTACACTAATATATACAATTTATACAAAAAACTTGTTATTTACATATGTTATAATATACTTTAGGTGTGATGCATCCAAAATGTTAATCCCCAGGCAAGTTTAAGTTTTTGAATGATTTCGTAATAAAACTTCCAACTTGCTTTTGCACATATTTATCTTTTGAAGAAATTAACATAATGAATGTATTTTCAGGATCATGTTGATCAACATTAATTTTGCTAGTGATGTTGTCAAACAATATTCTTCTATTTTCTCTATGTATTTGGCATTTAATCATGAAATGAACCTCATTTTCTATTTCCCCACAAAAGTTACACAATCTTTCATATTCAGGTTTTGGCCGTGGTTTTACATGTCTACCCAGTTCTATTTGTAATTTATGTGAACTTAATCTCAGTTGTGAAATTGATTGCCTGTGATTTTTGTTTTGAAGGCTTAAATATTGTTCTCTTTCGAAAATTGTTTTGAATTTAATGTATGTTCTTAAAACTGGGTATAATTGTAAATCACACTTCCATTTCTCCTTATAATTTTGGTGCAATGTTTTAGTTAGATTCTTTTTGAATACATAGTCATCATCAACAACTTGTTCATTCCAAGTGCTTTCAAGATTACAATCTTTTAAAATATTATGAACCTTACTTGACCAAGTATTTTTAAATCCTAAACTGTACATTTCATAGTCATATAGATATGCTTTATAAAGGAGGTTATCTGGACAAAGTTGTATAAGCCGTATCCAATATTTAATAAGATTAATATCAAAGCACAAACTAAGGGGGAAACGACCCAGCTCCCCATAGACTGCTAGGGTTGCAGTTGATGTTTTCACACCAAGAATGCTTTTTAAAAAGGACAGGTGAATAGTTTCAAGTGACTTGATATGTTTTTTACTTGACCATATTTCTGAACCATACATCAAAATTGGTTGGACAAGTGAATCAAATAAATGTAAGGCAACTGATATGGGAATGTCATTAAACTTGTGATATTGTTGCTTTATTTTGAATAAAGCTTTTCTAGATTGTTCTTTAAGATAGCATATTTGTTTATCAAAATTATTTTTACTGTTGAAGATACACCCTAGGTATTTGTAGTCTTCTACACATGCAATCACTTCATTATTGAATTTAAAAGTTTCATCTGATTTAGAGTTAAAAATAATAGCCTTTGTTTTAACAGTGTTGACAACAAGATGATAATTTCTGCAAAAATCAAAGAGAGAGTCTAGCATAGATTGTGCCCCAGATTTAGAGCTAGCTATTAATACTAAGTCATCAGCCCAAAGTAGATGGTTTAAAGAAACACCTTCAAACTCTATACCATGTTCTGAGGGAAGAAAATCTTTCAAGTCATCCAAAAAATGGTTGAAAAGATATGTACTGAGAACAGAGCCCTGCATAACGCCAATTCCAGTATTGTACGTTGGAGTAATGCCATCTTTAAGTTTGAGACATGATTTCGATTTTTTATACATGCTATCAATAATTTTAAACATTTTTGAACTTGGATGTATCCCTGATTTACATAATTTATAAAGAAGTGCTGTCCTGTTGACATAATCAAACGCTTTCCTAAAATCTACCATTATACAATATAGAGGCTTTTTCTGCCTCTTAAAATGTGAAATAATAGTGTTTAAAATGAACAAATTATCTGTTGTACGGTGACCAGATTTATAAGCACCTTGTAATCATGTAATGGGTCTTGAATATTGAGCATTTCTGCATTGAACACTAATCTTGTTTGAATGATTGTATCAAAAACATTTCCTAGACAAGCAAGTACATTGATTCCTCTGTAATTATCTGGATTGAGACGTGATCCTTGTTTGTAAAGAGTGGAGAGCATACCGATACTCCATTCTTCAGGGTAATCTCCTCTATCAAAGATAAAATTAAATAGTGCAGTAAAATCTAATGATAGAGCTTTACAATTTTTAATAATATTAGATGGTAAGCCATCAATACCTGGTGATTTATTAGCATTAATTTTATCTAAGGCATTTAGAACCTCTTTTTCATGTATAACATTGTTAAGTAAATGATCACTAATTTGTAATGAATCTGTATATGAATTATGCATGTTATATTCCAATATAAAGATTTGCATTTTCGCTAAAGCTTCATAATCAAAGAAGTCATATTTAGGTGCTTTACCAAGGTTTTTGAAAGTATCCAAAAGTACAGAGGTTGAAATTGGTATATCTCTGCTTTCATTTTTACCAGGGATTGAATGTACCATTTTCCAAAATTCTGTGGGATTATGAGCTTTAAAGTTTAATAATGATTTCAATAAGTCAGTTTGATATGCTCGTTTTTCTCTTTGCTTTGTCTGATTATATTTTTTCTGAATAATTGAAATTTCTAAGTCTGAATAATTTTCTTTAATTGCATTCCGTAATTGTTGTTTTAATCTTTTACACTCATCATTGAACCAGGGATTAACTGGGAATTTCTTTTTAGACTTTTTAAGTTGCTTTAACTGCAGAGTGCTTTCAGATGCATGATAAATAACACGTTTAAGAACATTCAACAAGCTATTTGAATCAATGTTTTGTCCCATTTTACAATAAAAATCATCTAAAACATCACTGCTAATATTGTCATGAAGAATTTCAATAAAATTATCTTTTGCTTTAAAATCCCATTTAAAATATGAATATGGCAAAATGTTAGTTTTAACATTTTTATCTGACTGGGAAGTGCTTTTTGAATGCTTAATATTAAGACTAAAGTGAATTGGTGCATGGTCCGAGTCAGGATGCCTGTCATGAACCTTAAAATCTGAGAAAAAATTAAAGAGATCAGGTTGTGAAAGTACATAATCTAATACTGATTTCCCTTTGCTATTGTCTAAGTCATTTTGTTCCTGATATCGATAATAAGTGAATTTTCCAATACCTTTGTCTTGAAAAAATCTACCATTCAAAATCCTTAAATTGGATGATTTACATAAATTGATGAGTTCACGACCGTGAGTTTGATATACAGCTTTAAGGTTTTTATCCATTGAAACCCTATTAGAAGTAACCCCATGCGATGCATCTTGGTCAATATGATTATATGGTGTCAAATTTTCATCAGATCCACATACCAGAGTATTGCAGTCAGATAATTCTGCTGTTCGAGCATTTAGGTCTCCAACAATAATTGTATTGCCTAACAACTGATATAATGCAATTGATTTTTCTAAAATTTCCATATTATCTACATGTTCAAATTTTGAACCTTTATGTGGCATATATACAAAACAAATATAAATATCTTTGGCTAAATTGTAAAATGATGACTTGAGCTTTAGCCAAACAAAAAAGTCATGTGTTTGTTTAATCAATTCTACACTAGTATTGAATAATTCATCTTTTACAAGAACAGCTAAACCTCCTGAAAATCCATTGGAATTTGCATTTTTAGACTGTCGAGCAAGATTATGTACAGTAAAACCATCTAAAGTAAATGTTTCAAGTGGGTTTAACCAGGTTTCACATAGTAATACAATTGAGTACTTGCTAAAAAGCTCTTTAATGTCATACCCATTATGTAATTTATCTGATAAACGATTAATGTTCCACATAAGACATTTTAAGTCAGTTGAATTTTGATTTTTGTGGAATAATGAAACATCATCAGACGCTAAGAGCTTACTACATTCATGTATTAACTCATTGTTATTTGAAAACGTAATATCATTCTCACTAATTACAGAGCAACTATCCATCTTATTACTACTACATGTACAATCTTTTGAGTTCATCTTACTATATACAGTTAAACCTTCTTTTTTAACACTGATGCCTTTGTTTGTGCATAAATCAGCATCATCATTATTACAAGTCATATCATATGTACAGTTGCTATTATAATTCCAGGATGCATCACACACAGTGTCTATAATTTGTACTGAGCAGGCTGGTAGGTAGGGTTTTTACTTGAGAGGATACTGGCATATGTCTTGGGTATGTCACTGTTGATGCATCTTAGCATGGCCATCACTAGGGAAGTTCGTCCTTTTGGATTAAAGTGGAGTCCATCACGATTTAGCACATCAAAATTTGGTCTGCCAGCAGTTGAGTTGTTGGCTTGGTTAATATCAATAAATCCAATTCCCTGATTGTTACAGAAAGTTTTCATATTGCTGTTGATGTAATCAATGTCAGAGTTCATATTCTGAATGTGATGACTAGATTCTGAATCCCCTCTGTGGTGCAGTCCTGCCATGATCAGTTTAGAATTTGGATGATGTGATCTTGCTGTTTGAGCTAAGTGTTTAAGACTATAGATAATGTCATTTGGTGAATCTGTCTTGACATTGTTTGTTCCCAATCCAATTATTTTATAGTCTGTTGATTGCTTGATATCACCTCTCTGTATAGCCTGGACTCCATGCTCAATCCTACCACCGCTGTAGACTGAGGACGTAACATTCACACTTGGTGCCTTGCTCTTCATGATTCCAGCTAATCCTCTACCATTTGAAGAATACATTATATGTACAGATGTCATAGACTTCAACTTAGGTGGCTCTTGCATGCTATGTGGCATAGACTTGGCATGTGGTGCAGATGTCGCCTTTGGTGACGTTGAAGGCTTAGTACATGGTGAAGGGACAGGTTTGGCAATTTTGCTTTGAGGAGGCTTAGCTTTACTTGGTGCACTTTTTGGGGCCGAAGAAGGTTTATAAGAATCACATTTTGGTGGTTTGGGTGATTCAGCAAGACTCTGGGGTTGAGATAGATTTTGCTCACTGTCTAACATGGATGCCAGTTGTTTATTTCTCCGGTAAGTTGTCTCCAGATCAGCTTTCAATCCTTTATGTTCTTTTTCCATACATCTCAGTTTTTCATCTAAGTTGTAGATTTCTGCCTCTAAGTCTCTAAGCTTTGTGTTATGGAGTACTTGTTGAGCCTCGAGTTCATCCGCTCTCTGCTGTTCATTTACTTTGATGCGGTTAAGAAGATCATTTATTTTGGCAGACTGCTCATTTATAAGTTTCCTGTCACTCAGATACTTCTCATTTTTGTTCATTAGTTGAGTGATTTTACTCCGTTGTTTGTTATTTTCAACTTGTAATCGTTTATTTTCTTCTAATATTGCAGCGACAGATTTTTGGGATTTGGCAAGTTGTGATTGTTCAGTGAAAGAGGACCCATCAGACAGTACATTATCCATTATTGTGTTGAGTGAGGGCTCTTGAATATTCATGTTCAATTCCTGATCATTGGCATAATTTGTTGTGGAGGCTTGAAGAGATTCTCCATGTGAGGGGGGGCCCTGGGCTGAGGGGAATCCAGAAGATGAAATATCATCAGGGGGTGGGGATAGTCCTTCAGATGAGGGCGGTGGGGATGGTCCTTCAGGTGAGGGCGGTCTTTCAGACGAGGGCGGTCCTTCAGACGAGGGCGGTCCTTCAGATGAGGGCGGTGGGGATGGTCCTTCAGGTGAGGGCAGTCTCTCAGATGAGGGCGGTCCTTCAGACGAGGGCGGTGGGGGCGGTCCTTCAGGTGAGGGCGGTGGGGGCGATCCTTCATCAGTCTTATTCAGGTTTTCAAAGAAGATGAGGCTATCTTCAGCGGTGTCTGTAACAGGATCTAACTCCTTAGTTAGTATTTCTGGATGCAAGAATGTGATTACACTGTCTTCTTGATCTGATAAGTGTGTATTCTCCATAACATCTGATAAATGGATTGAACTTGGCACAGCAGCTCTGCTGAGGGGGGTGGAAGTTAATGAGTGACACCTGTCAATGTGGACTATGGTGTCCTTGATAAGTGGAAAGTCATTCATCTTCCAATCATCAAGTCCCTCACCTTGCACGTTTATTACTCCTGAATCATTTATGTTGATTGTAACATGATCAGAAACAGTGATGATTTGTCCATACCGGGCTCTTGAAGATGTTGCTTTCATGCATTTGTTCTTGTAAAATGTTTCAAAAGCATCCAGCCATGTTGGTATTCTTTCCGTAAAGAACTGAACACTTTTACATTCATCAGTCAGTTCTATTATCCCAGTATTGTCTATGTCAAAGTACTGATAATTATCATGAAGGGTTTCTGGTTTGTTTCTTAATGTTTTCATGTTTTGCTTTTTGTTGTTCTTTCTCTTTTTGCCCTTTAGGTCTGGTGAAGGGTGCACCTGAAGATAGGACTTTACGAGATCTACGGGGGTGATCTCTCGCCATTGTCCAAGATATAATATAGATGTAGTTTGTTTTTTATCCAAATATAGTAGTAAATCCAAATAAGTTCAATAAATAGGTTTGTTTATGGCTGTTCTATCAACTTCCCTCAATTAGTAATTAGGTGGCTCTTCCATTTAATTAGGTGGCTCTTCCATTTAACTCCTATTGTCATCAATTGTCTAAATTAAATGGCTGTTCCATTCACCTCCATTAGTTGTCCAAAGTTTTTATTGCATGTTTATCACATATATTTCCTGACTATATCTTCTTAAAATCCATTGTGATCAAAAACATAATTAAGGGTTTGTATAAGCTATTACAATTATCCTCTTAAATGTTCATGTAACTTCTTCAAAAAGTCTATTTAAAATTTCTTTTGTTTAAAATTTTTTTCTTCCTTTGTTTTAACTTTGAAATTTACTTGTTAATATCCTGGTAATTAAGCTCCAAAACTGTTATTTAAAACAGTCCAACGGTTTCCCTGTACTTTCATGTATAATCCTGATATAATTTCTTGTTTCCAAATGTCTTTAAAGACTCTTAAAACATGGAATTATTGAGAGCAAATTTTTGAAACTTTTTAACTGGTGGCCATCTTGAAAAGCCTTGAATACATGAAAGAGCTCGACCGTTGAGCGAGATCATTAAGGCTTAAATATTACAGATTGCATTTAGCAAAATTGATCAATCCCGGCCATCAAAAACCCCAAACAAATGAGGAAAAGGTAAGCGATCGATCAAAGACATGTAAATGTTCTAGAGAATTATAAAATACACTTGCACCCTTTATACAATAACGTTTAATAAAGTAAATGTTTCTCATCTTAACAAAAATAAACCATCAATTAAAAGATCAAATGTCTAACGATACAAAATAACGATACCAATCACCTCTTATCCCTATACAACATACTGTTCCATTTACGCAACGCACAAAGAAATCATTTATTTGCTAATGTCGCTTTGCGCAAACACAAATAAATGTGAATTATCATGGTTTTATTTTTATTGGTAATGGGGGGGGGGGGGGTCGTCAGAAACATCAGGCGGAAGACCTGAAGACTAGAAGTCTTCGTTTTCACAATCAAGTAGTCAGAAAAAGATCATAAAATGTGCCCTTGTGCTGAAACTTTAAAGTTATTATGCATCGCTTATAAGGTAACGCTGTATGTATCTATTGTATTTGAGCCTGCAACATAATGAGGTGCAAATTGTGAAATGTACCATCATGCTCAAACTTAAACTAAGAATGCATTGTTTATAACGTTGTATGTATGTTCTGTATTTGTGACTGCAACATGCACAATAAGGTGCAAATTATAAAGTGTGCTCTTGTGCTGAAACCTTAAACTTATTATGCATTGTTTAGATGGTGACGTTGTAAGTATCCATTGTATCAGGCCCTGCAACATAACAAGGTGCAGATGATAAAACGTGCTATCGTGCTTAAATTTAAACTTAATATGCATTTTTGATAAGGCATTGTTGATTAAACCCAGCACACATTGTTTATAGAATGGTAACATTGAAAGTATGCATTGTACTTGTGGATGCAACATAATAAGATGTAAATTATAAAAGGTATTATCGTGCTCAAACTTAAACTTAGCAGGCATTGTTTATAAGGTAACGTTGATTATAAAACTTACACTCATGGTCAAACTTAAACTTAGCATGCTTTGTTGTATAAGGTAACGTTGTAAGAATGCGTCGTATTTGTGCATGCAACATAATGAGATGCAAATTATAAAATGTACTCTGGTGCTCAAACTTAAACTTAGCTTGCATTCATCATAAGCTGACTTTGCTAGTATGAACTGTATTTGTGCATGCAACATAATGGGGTGCAAGTTATAAAATTAATTCCCGTGCTCAAACTTAAACTTAGCATGTATTTAAAAGGTAACTTTGTAAATGCATGCATTTAAAAGGTAACTTCATTACAAGAACACAAATGTGTACAAAATGTCCCCACCAATGGGTGATCCCATGAAATGGTTATCCTGAAAATGAGTAGACAAGACTTTACCAACACAATTTTAATTGATCCGTCACACAGTTAACTAGAAAACATGTAAACAAGACTTTACAGACAAGATTTTAGGACAGAAAATCCAAAATGGCTGCCATGACATTTACACAGAATGCCAAAAAACTAATCAGATGTAGATTTTCACACTAAGAATCATCCCTGAAAATTTGAAATTGATCTACCAAACGGTTCACCTAAAAACGCGTAGACAAGACTTTACAGGCAAGATTTTAAGACGGAAAATCCAAAATGGCTGCCTTGACATTAATCCAGAATGCCAAAAAACTAATCAGATCTACATTTTCATACTAAGAATCATCCCTAAAAATTTGAAATTGATCTACAGAACGGTTCACCTGGAAATGCATAGACAAGACTTTACAGACAAGATTTTAGGACAGAAAATCCAAAATGGCTGCCTTGACATTTGTCCAGAATGCCAAAAAACTAATCAGTTCTACATTTTCATACTAAGAATCATCTCTGAAAATTTGAAATTGATCTACCAAACGGTTCACCTGAAAATGCGTAGACAAGACTTTACAGACAAGATTTTAGGACGGAAAATCCAAAATGGCTGCCTTGACATTTACCCAGAATGCCAAAAAACAAATCAGATCTAGATTGTTATATTAAGAATCATCCCTGAAAATTTGAAATTGATCCACCAAACGGTTCACCTGAAAACACGTAGACAAGACTTCACAGACAAGATTTTAGGACGGAAAAATCCAAAATGGCGGACAATAAAAAAGTGGTTATGTGTTTTTGCTGATTTCTTCTTACAAAATTATCACATATTACTACTGTTAACAATAACATAGGCTTTTACAACAAAGTAGATCTGAAATTATTTATAAAGCTACTAAATAGTTAAAGTATGAAAACTCAAAAACACCATTCAATATGATACAAAGTATTATCGTGTGCTAACTTTTCTTAAGACATTCAAAATGGCTGACATGACTGAGCTAACAGGTCCAAAACCTAATCAGATCTAGAATGAAGTGAGCTGAACCAGATGTTAAAGTTTTAAAAGCAACTGTGAAGCCGTTTTTCTTAAAGTTTGCAGACAAGGATTTTAGCATTTGACTTCAAAATGGCCGACAGGAAGTAGGTATCGAGTTAAAATTTTTTCATCCACATCTGTATGCACTCATAAGTTATCCCTGAAAATTTGAAGGTGATATCTGTAGCGGTTTTGGAGAAAACTGCCGGACGTGCGGACGGACGGACAGACAGACAGACAACCAGACGGACGGACGGACGTACGGACGGACAGACAGACGGACGCGCCTAGGCCGACAATATGGCCCCACACTATGTGGTGGGGACATAAAAAGGTAACTTCATGTATTTGTGCAGACAATAAAATAAAGTGCAAATGGTAAAATGTACTCGAACTTAAACTCAGCATGCATTGTTGATGATGTGACTTTGTAATTATGTATTGAATTGGTGCATGCAGCATAAATGTAATCCTGTGCTTAAACCGCATTGTCCACATTCATGTATCTAAATGAGGTTGCAAATAACCACATGTACGATTGTGTTTTGTTAAGGTAACAATTTTTATTTGGCTATGTATCTTTATGAGAGTTGCAATTACGAAGCTGCAATGACATAAGCACACCACTTATTTGTACATACTTTAAAACCTCATCCATGTATAAAGTGCAATTCATGAAATGGTCTGACAATTTTTGTTATGTAATCAATGGTTATATATGAATCCCTTATTGATATGTATATGATATGATACTATATGTATTACATGTATGTAAATTGTATTGCATTAACATTTCAATCCTGTTCACAAACCTACCATGTACTTAATTAAAATGTTTTAACGATGTATTGTGTATAGTACAGATAGTACAATTGTAATTTAGCGAGTTAAAGACACAAGTTAAAGTGTCGTCATGCCATTTGGTGTCATATAAGACACAATTTTGCAGTTTGTTTTGTTTTTTTGTTTCGTATTCATTGTTTCTTTTTAAACAAACTTGTATATATTTAAATATCTCATCCTCAGGCGGAAACCGAAAATCTTTCCAGCCAACATACACCATGCTCCCATCTGAACTTGATAACACTTACATAATATATATACATGCTCCCCCTAATTCAAATTCACATTCAGCTTCAAAGTATAAGGCACTTTGCCAATCTTATCTCGATAAATACGTACCAAAATGAATAATTTAAGAGGTATTCGAGATTATTCGAAAAGACAACGCATATTCCATCACCTTTCGGATATGACGCCAGCAATTGTTATGCTTCAAGAAACGCATCCTAACGAAAATGATTTAAACACGTGGAAAAACAATTGGGGTAATGAAATAATCTTCTCACATGGGTCAAACGATAGCAGAGGGGTAGCAATACTCTTGGATAAAACAATAAATTATACAATTCATGAAAAATACAAGATAATGAAGGACCCACGGTCCTGTGCTCACACAGTTTGGAACCTTCAGAGGAATGTATATACTGACTTTCAAACAAAAATATTGATTTGGATTTGTAGTCTCGAACTTTGAGAAACTTAGATAGCACAGTTGTGTGACCTAGTTTGATGACCTTTGACCTTGAAAATTTTACTAATTCAGAGCTCAGTAAGGTCTTTTGTGATTAAGCTGACCAAAATTTACATCCAAAAATCAATTTGAAAAATCAACTATTTTGAAGGTCACTGAAGGTCAAAAACGGTAAAAATTTGATGCTGACATATATTGAGCAATATGTAGGGAATGCTTAAATCTAGTAATGATGTAATTCATTGCAAGAAATGATCAAGTATAAGGCAAACTTTGAGAAACTTGTCAATCAGAAAACCTGCCATTGACCTTATACATGAGAAGGTTTCCTGAAAATGACCAAGTCCTACTTTTTGTCAAATTTTATGGAGTAAAAACCAAAAACTGTAATTCCAAGAGCTTTGAAATCTTCAGAGGACATAAGTTGCATATACAGCAACTACTAAAAGTTATTTGAAAGTTCTACTTCAACAAAGTGTCTAGTATTTACAGAAAATTTGACTTTTTGACGTCAAAATCCGCAATTTCTCGGAAACCGGGCAAACTTGGGAAATGGCGATGATAGGTCAAATAGGCATTATGGATATGCATAAAATGAATGTGGATATGACTCAATCCGAATAGCAGTTTTAATTTGTGCGGCCAATGTTGACGGACGGATGGACGGACGGACGGACCAACGGACGGACGGACCAACGGACGGACGGACGCCTGGTCGATCCCATAGGCTCAAAAGCAAGGCGTCATCACCTTAATTCCGAAGAAAGACAAAATTAGATTATTCCTTAAAAATTGGAGGCCAATTACTCTTTTGAACACCGACTATAAAATAGGTACTAAATCAATCGCGAATAGGATACGTAAAACTTTAACATCTATAGTTAACGCCGACCAATCTGCTTATGTAACGGACAGATACATAGGGGAAAATATTAGACTTATAGAAGATGTCTTAGAATTCACTGACCAAGGTAACATCCCTGGCTTACTTCTTCAAATTGATTTCGAAATAGCATTTGATTCGGTAAACT